TAAATGTGATATAGATAATGCTATTTCGAAATTATTTTCACATTGCATTATTGTTAAAAATGTAGTCATATCACAAATTGTATTTATCACTGTCATTTATTACCTGGATGGCCATGGTCATTTTTTAAAACTCTGCTTGTGTGTGTTCCCTCATCTCTAAAGCAGTGTAAATAATCATAGGGTCACTGGGCAGTTTCAGAGATTTGGCAGTGACTCTGGATACAGTGAGGTACCAGTAAAATACACAACTTTCAAGATAGGGATGAAGCTCTTGTTGACTTTTCCTCCATCCACATTGGCAGGTCATGCTAAGATGCATGCTGAGAGTTCACGGGTCATCCTACAACATCCAGAAGACACTGTCCTGTAGCAGTCATTAGGTCCTCTGGCTCTCATAGGCTTTCTGCCTTGTCTTCTGTGACGTTCCCTGAGCCTTGGGGGTAGGGAATGTGTCTGCTGATGGAGGGAGAATCAGTTCTCTTCGGGAATGAGACGCCTGAATGGTTCCCCAGAAACACTAATTGAACTCAGTAGGTTTGTGTGAAGATTGATAGATGATGATGATGATGATGATGATGAAAGATAGATAGATGATTGATAGATAGATTCATAGATAGATGATAGATAGATAGATAGCAATAATAATTATAGAGAAAGAGATCATGAATTTGAGAGGGGTGGAGAACTTGGGAGGAGTTGGAAGGGGAGAAGGTGTAACGGAAATGATATAAATATAGTTTACTCATGTGTGAAATTCTCTTAAAAAGTAAAATAAATGGGCCACTGAAAAGATAGAGAGGCTGGAGAGCTGGCTCAGTGGTTAAGAGCACTGACTGCTCTTTCAGAAGATGGGGGTTTGATTCCTAGCACCCACATGGTGGCTAACAACCATCTATAACTCCTCTTCTGTTCACCATGGGCACTGCATGGCATGGGTGTACTTACATACATGCACATAAAATAAATAAATAAATTTTGAAAAGATATAATTCTCTTAACCAACAGTATCAATCCCTCCCCACTTTTTGAGGCAGAGTCTCACTGTGCAGACTGATCAGGAACTTACCCTTCTCCTGCCTCAGCCTTACAAGTGCCGAGATGACAGATTTGTACCACACCAGGCTTCTCTTTTGGTTTACTGATAATTTCAAATTGCTGTTATTTCATAACTTGTTTAAATAATGTAGACTGGGATAAAAATAGCCTATGCTTGTATTCAAGTAGCTCATTGGGAGTCCTTTACAGGAACAGGAACTCAAGGTCATAATTGTTGCTTTTTTTCCCCCTCTCCCATTGACTCCCAAAGTCTTAGGAGAGTGCATAGTGTGTTGAGTGCCTTCTTTTGTGCTGACTAACAAGCAGCTACCTTGTCTAACTTTTTCTCACAGCCCTTTCATTCTGAACAAAAAACCTAAGCATGCAACATCAGCAACTACTGCCTGCAAATGCTGCTGTGGGAGGGACTTGCCCTGGGTCAGCTCAGCTCAGTGTCAGCTCGGGGTCATCTCAGGGTCAGCTCCAGGTCAGCTCCAGCCATCCGGATATCCATGCTTTCAGCAGCCTCTCAGTCTGGGCTTTCCCTCATCTCTGTCAGGTCTCTCAGAAAGGTCTGAGAGGCTCTGCTCTCTTTGCAGATGTTAAAAGAGCAGTCCTCTGACACTGACTAACAAGCTGTAGGAATTAGGTAGCACTGGCACCTAGAGGACTCTGAGAGGAACAATGGCGATAGTAACTACTAATCACAAGAGTTTTCTGAGCCTCTAACGAGCAAGCCTGGCTCTACGTTCTTTCAGGACATTATTTTATCCAGAACTGCAATCTTAGATAACAAACTCATTCCATTTTACACATGAGAAAACAAGAGCTTAGTAATTTAAGAAGCCCCACTACACTAAATTAAGGCATGGAATTTAGAGACATGTCTATATCAACTGTCAAATTCCAACTTTTTAGTATTATGAGTTTTTTCTCTAGGTGAAACCGTTATTTATCTGTATATATCTGTAAGAAATTATTAGGGGACTGGAGAGATGGCTCAGAGATTGGAGTACTGGCTGCTCTTGCAGACAATCTGAGTTTGGCTCCCAGCTCCCACATAGCAGGTGATAACAATCCTTGACTCCAGTTCCAGGGGATCCAGTGCTCTCTTCTGACTTCCACGGGCACTGCACACAATTGTATGCTCACATGCAAAACACTCCTATACATGAAAGTGGAGATAAATAATTTTTTTAAAAAAATTAAAGAAATTACTAGGTAGAAAAATCTGTTTTACATTAGATGAAGCATGGCAAAGTAATATTGCCATGTAGGGTCCTGAGGGTGCTGGTGGCCCTTTCCATCTGTCCCATAGTTCCATATCCTCTTGAGAACACAGCATTTTGTTGCTGGTGTGAGACTGAAGATGCTGTTATGGACGACTGTGAGGTATATAGATCAGTTTAGGGATCAACTGTGAAAAGTTCTTCCATATGGCCACCACATACTTATGAATCTGCACAGGCCAAGCACACATCAGAGAAAAATGACATATATAATTATAGTATTTTGAAAAATGATAAATATAATTATAGTGTTTTGATCTGTAATACTACTTTTTCATAAATGGATGGAAGAATGAAATTATTATATATACAAGTGTTGCTATAAGTGCACTAAAATATGCAACTTTATTTTGATCTTTGTGAAATATTACTCATTTGAAACCCCAAGAATTTCAGAGAATAACAGCAGGGTAATGCTTAGATCATAAAGACTAACCTGATAGTCGCCTTGGGTTCCATTGTAACATTGCTGCACCCGAATGTTCAGAAAAAGTGTCTAAATGCATGCATTACAGTTTATCTTTCTTTAAAAATTACTTTTCCCTTTATTTAATCTCTAATTTTTTATTTTAATTCTCTGAAATATTCTACTCAGTAATTGGTTTGGGACGATCCTGAATGTGTCTGATCAACAACTGTACTGTTTTTCAATGTGGTTTTTACATATAAAAATGTAATATGAAAAAAATGTAGTATGTTCTCAGCAAATATGCTCTATGTTATGTGTGCATCTATTCAATTATTTAACATTAAGTGTAAGCACACTTTCAGAGATAAGCTTATAAAAGTTTATTTACCATCATTATATTCATATGTATCATTCTAAATAATAAATTCTGCTACCACCATAAGGCGAGTCCTGTGTTACTGTAGACAGTGACGTGTTTGTTGACATGCAAATGCTTTCTTCCTTGAGGTTAGCCATAAGGAAATTCACAAGGGTACCGTGTATTGCCCATTCCTATGCAAAAAAAATAAATCCCATATGCTCAAAAAAATCACCTTGGTTGAGCAGCTCATTTGATAGAACATTAAGATGTTGTTTGTTTTCAGCCAAAAGTTAAAGACAAATGTATTCATTAGTATATTATACTATATTTCAAAAAGATGTGACTTAACCAAATTATTGATTTCTGTATTTGCCTTATTCCATCAGAAAAGATGGCTTTGTGGTATAAAGTGAGAAAAGCATTTTCTAAAACATCTGCACTAGATGTCTCTTAACCAAGAAAGAGGCTTTTAAAAACACTTTTCATTATTTATTTATTTTTCTTATGTATGTGAGTGGTTTGCCTGCATGTATATAAGTATGCTCATGTCATGCAGTACCACCAGAGGCCAGAAGAGGGCGTCAGACCCTCTGCAACTGGAGTTATGGACGGTTATTAGCTGTCATGTGGGTGCTGGGACCTGAACCTGGGGCCCCTGTAAGTCTAACCAGTGTTCTTAACTGATGAAGCATCTCTCCAGCCCCCAACCAAGAGGCATTTTAACACTAAGTGGTGGATGCTAATTTATCACTTAAATTACCTTTCCCCATCTTGTTTTTAAGAATAATTGTGTTCTGAAGTAAAAGTTCCTTGAATTCCAGTTTCAGCACATGCACCGTCTTGGTCTACTTTACAGCCCCATTTCAGTGTTTCCACGTCAAGGAGCTGTCGAAAGCCTAAAACGAAAGCCTGCGTTTCCTGTCTGCTCCCGGCAGTCTGGAGATGAATGAACAGCGCTCTCACTGAGGTGTAAAACGCCCTGTGGAAGCCTGTTTAACACTGTTCTGTGTTCTACAGTGACAAGTCTTTTCTCCTAAGATTTCCACATCTAATGTGATGTTTTCAGAGCATTCCTAGAACCTCATAGAGACTTCTCTTTCGACATAATTTATTTTTATTGTGTAACTAACATGAAATTTACTCCCCAAAATAATAGATGATTCTCAGAAATCCAAGTAAAATGGATTGCTTACATTATCATTATGGTTAAGGGTAGAACGTGTCATGTTATAAGAAGGTATTCGTTCCACTGGGGAGGCAGACTTAAACATTGAACCGAGTATTCTCATGTTGGGACTGAATCGTGCTATGATATGTGACTCATGCATCCGAAAGGCCTTCACTAAATCTCACTGTGCCTTGAACTCCATCAGGCTATGCTGAGGTCAAATACGTTTTTTGATTCAAAAAATATCACTTGTATCCTGAGTAATAATGTTATTTCTACTCTTACATTTTTAAGAGTTTATTTGTGTGTGCATGTGTGTATGCCCATGCCACCGTGTGCGTGTGTGTGTGTGTGTGTGTGTGTTCATGCCACAGCACATGTATGGAGGTCAGGGGACAATGTGTGGGTCTATTATCTCTTTCTACCCTGTGAGTCCCAGGGATTGAACTCAGGTCATCAGCTTAATGGCAAATACTTTTACCTAATGAGGCATCTTGCTGACCCCATGCTGTTTTTAATGGCAACATTTATCACCTTCCCTGAAAATAGACACACGAAATAATTCAATGAAAACCCCAGACAATTTTGTCACTTCTTATATTTATTTAAAGTAAGTACAATAACCCCAGTTGCATTGTTCTAATATTGATTAGAATAACTGCAAACAGGACTTTTTAATTCTAACTTGTGTTTAATTCACCGAGTCTCATTGATTTGCTACCCTAATTTTCATTCCAGGCCCCCCAGGCCCTCCAGGTGGTCTGAGAATAGAAGACATAAGAGCTACCTCCGTGGCACTGACTTGGAGCCGCGGTTCAGATAACCATAGTCCCATCTCTAAATATACCATCCAGACCAAGACTGTTCTCTCAGATGACTGGAAAGATGCAAAGACGGGTGAGTTTTATTTCTACTCAGTTTCTAAGTGTTTCCAAGTGAATTTTTAAATAAAAACTGTAAACCTAAAAGCTTCTGGAATTAAATTTTCGACAATGAAATCAGTGCTTTCTTAAAATATTTTTGTTTCAGGTTTGGGTGTGGTGGTACACGTCTTTAATCCCAGCACTTGGGAGGCAGAGGCAGGTGGATCTCTGCAAGACGGAGGCCAGCCTAGTCTACAAAGCAAGTGTCAGGCCAGCTGGAGCTACAGGGAGACCCAGTCTCAAAAAATAAATATAGATACAAAAAAATAAAACAGCAAAACATTAAAGGATTTTTTTGTTTCAGTATCCCCGTCTTTTGTTAGTGAAGAAGGCTACATGGCTCTTGATCAGTGAAGCATTTTATAGCTGTAGCTATAATGGAAAAAGCAAGCAGAGGTCTCTTGGGTTTCTTATTGAATTGTTTGTAACACTAAGATTTGCTGGCAAAAAAAAAATAAGGAACTCTGCTTTGTCAAATTATGTTTGTAACTAATGGCATCCTTTTCTACTAATTACTGTGCACCTCACTTAAAAACAAACGAAAACCTTGTCATTAAAAAATTCACCAGAAATCAGGTTTCATCATCATGTCGGATCCCCAGTATTGAGATCAGACCATGGTGCTCATTCATTAGAAAGAAATTTATCCACTTCCACTGTGTGTCAGAACTTGATACTGGTGCTAGAAATTCAGCTCAACAGAAACAGACACAACCTGACCTCAAGAGAGGCCGACAAACAGATAGTAACAGGTGTGGTAAATAATACAGTGATGAGCTAAAGAGAGCACACATGGGTGCTGGGAGGTGGGTCTGCGGTTTCAGAGAACTTGGGATGTTATCTAGGCGCTCTGCTTCCTAAGGCTTCTGCCTACGTATGTTGCCGTGTTCTTCTTCCCACTTAGCTGTGTCTTTGAATCAGACACAGGTTTCCACCGATAATCTGTAGTTATAGCTGGATCATATTTTATGCAGTTTATAATCTCTGTGGTTTTGAATGAATTCCTTAATCCATAACATTTATTGCTATTATTGATACAGTATATTATACACTATATAGTATATTATATATAATGTATTATTGATATTGTATAGTTGTATATGTATTTATAGTAGCTACATAGTTGTACATAAAACTGCCATTGTATTTTTAGTATTGGTTTCTCTATGACTTTACCTCTTTTAAATTACATGAACATTTTACAGTGTAGTACTTTAAATTTTTCAATGATATTTACTCTCTCTGTGTATACACTTATCTCTCTAAGATCTACTATTTACATCTTTACTTCTTAGAATAGACTTCAAACTTTTAAGTAGAAAAGGGCCTCATGTACACAAGTACTCTGCCACTGAGCTATATCCCCAGAGGCTTGGTCTTTTTTTCCTCAAAAAATAGGTTTTCTCTGAGTGGCCTCCAGGCGTTTGTAAGTAGACCCATGTGTAGTACCCACGGCTGATTTTTAAAATAAAATCTCTTAAAATGAAAGAATTGAAGTAAGGATTCCTCCTGTATATATTTTTATTTTTTTGCTAGAGATTTCACTCAGGAGTACAACCAAGGTTTTAGTGCCAGTCAATACCCAGACACATTTTAATTTTGCTTACAGAGATTGCTCTGACAGGCATGATGCAGTTATGATGATTTTCGATGCTGAAATGACCTATAAACAGTGGCCTGATTCAGAACTGGCCCAGTTAAACATCAGGTTCCGCAGATCCAATCCTGCCTTGTGCTGTCCCATAGTGTACAGAGTGCTTCATTCCGTTTCTGACTGTAGGAAGCTTGACTCAGGAGACTAGACGGTGAGTCCCTCTTCTCCATCCACCTTGGTACCTTAAAAAAGAAAGTCTGCTTCCAAAAAAAGCTGATGTTTGCTACAAACAGACTTTGTTCACAACCTGCCTGTGGATGGTTTGGGGAAGAAGAAGGAAGGAGAAAGAATGAACCAATAGGCTCTACCAGCACTGGGGTAGGAAAAGACAACATGACATTTAAGTCTAAGTTTAGGGACATTTAAAGCTCACAATAAAACATGTATTGGAGACAAAACCAGAAGCATATCAGGATGTAGCAACTGGGGAGAGAAATGGAAACTAGTCCACATCCAGTTGAAGAGCATGGGAGCCTATCAGGATGGAGAAGGGGGCTAATCTTTGCAGAGCCGGGAACTTCCGGTGGAATGCAGACCTATGAGCTTAGAACACCAGCGATTCTGTGATAGGAAAGGCTGGAGCACCCCTCTTTTTCCCATAGCCTGTGTGGTTTAGGGATGAAGGAGATGCTAAAGTGGTTGCTGACAGCCTTGCACTGAGACATTGTCAGTCAATACATTATACATATAGATAATACATATTAAACACTTCCATTTGCAAAACAGACCCCAGGCCTTGAGAGGCTCTATAATATGATGGAAAGCAGAAGATGTGTACATATACACCCACAAATGACAGACATAACAAGCAAGAGGCAGGTAGAGGAGGTAATGTAACTGTAGGCCTGGTGTGGCCCAGCCAGCCTTGAATTTCTGCTCTAATTGAAGTATGTCAGAGAGAGAACTAATGCTTACATCTTGTTTGTGTGATGTAGTTTGGAATGAAATCCTACCCTGATTAGGAGCATTGAAGGCAGGTTAGACAGAAGTCTAACTCAGTTCTAGTTATATAATTTTAGGAATATAACATGTTAATCATTTTTGCTAAACTATTCTTTTTTACTGAATTGTTTTATCGAACATGTTTGCTTTAGATATTTGTATTCTCTTAATGATATTAAGGTAGTGGTTGTAATTGTTTGTCTTTAGAAAAGGACAGATTGTAAGTCATTAGCACTCCTGATCAGAAAAACCATTACGGGGCTGGAAAGACAGCTCAGCAGTTAAGAGCACTGGCTGCTCTTGCAGAGGACCTGGGTTTGAGTCCCAGCATGCGTGTAGCGACTAACAACCATCTGTAACTCCAGTTCCAGGGGATCTGACACCTCTTCTGACCTCTGAGGATAATGTACAACACAACTGCATCTACCTACGTGCATACACATAAAATAAAAATAATAAATGAAGTATTAAAAGAGAAAAGCCGTTATTTTTCAGGCTTCAAATGCATTCCTTACTCATTCAGGCACATTCTATCTGATGTTTTCTGTGTGTGTGTGTGTGTGTGTGTGTGTGTGTGTGTGTGTGTGTGTGTGTATGTGTTCATATGGATACTTGTATACAGATGTAAATGCATATATACATGTGCACATGTATGTGAGGGCCAGAGCTCCCACACTGCTCTTTAAAAAATATTTTCTTTATTATTTTTATTTTGTGTGTGTGAGTGTGTTGCCTACATGTATGTGAGTGCACCCGTGTTGTGCAATGCCATGGAGGTCAGAAGAGGGCTTTGGATTCCCCTGGAACTGGAGTTAAGGACGGTTTGTAGCCACCATGTGGGTGCTGAGAATCAAACCCAGGTCCTCTGCAAGAGTAGTCAGTGCTCTTAACTGCTGAGCCATCTCTCCAGCCCCCACACCACACTGCTTTTTGAGACAGAATTTCTCACCGGGACTTGGAGACTGTTTGTTGAGATCGATCAGGGAGTCCCAGGGATCTGTCCATCACTATTCTCCCTAGAGCTGGGATCACAAGCACGTGGCAACACTCCTGGCTTTCTACACAGGTGCTGGGAATCAGTGACAGGCTTTTACCCACTGAGCTATCTACCCGTCCCACTGGATGCCATTTTTCTTGGCATGTGCTTCCTGTTCCCTCTCTAAGAAGGGCGTCCTACTGGAGTCCACCTTCTTGGGTAGTATCTCCAGAGCTGTTTGATTCCTTTACTACCTTTTAAAAAGCAAAGGCCCAATTTCGGGAATCATCTTCTACTACCAAGGAACTTTAGTTGGCTTTCCTGACCTGTGTCCTCCACACCCCCAGTCCTCCAAATATTCCCTGGAATCAAGTATGATTTCTCCACTGGGAGCATCCTATGGCCTTCCCCATGTCTGGAGACATTTTTATACTGGTTTCACATGTGTGCTTGAAGTCAGCCCTTCAGCCCTGGTCTCCACAGAGGAGCCAGCTGGCTCTTCCAAGTCCTGTCTAGCACCTACCTGCTTATGCCTGTTCACCGTTCAACTGCTTGGAAGAGGCCCAGTGGTGCCTTGGCCTTCATGAGAACAGCATTTCCTTGCAAAGATGGGCCATTGGGAGTGTTTCTAAGGCTTCCATTTTTAAGTGCTTAGATTGTGCCATTTTTGGCCTAAGAGTCAGGGGAGTGGACTCTACTGCCCTGAATTTTCTTTAATACATTTTTTGCTTGAGCTCCCAAACTCACCCTGTATGAATTTCCTAAGGCTGGTTAACAAACTTTCACAAACATCATAACCTAAAATAGTTCCAGATGAGGCCAGAAATATGAGCCTGTCTCCGGGCTCAGAGGAAACGTCCATCCCTTGACTTTTCCAGCTTCTGCTTTCCTGTGTTGTGCTGTGGTGTGATATAGTGTGGTGTAGGTGGTGTGTGTGTGTGTGTGTGTGTGTGTGTGTGTGTGTGTGTACGTGTACACAGCTATATGGAGACCAGAGGTAAACCTCAGGTGGTCTTTCTCAGGAGTCATCCACTTGGTTTTTGAGACTGGGCCCTCAGTACCCTGAGGCTTCCCAGTTTGAGTAAACTGGAGGGCCAGCAATCCCCAGGATCCTCCTGTCTAGTGCTGGGATTATAAGCATGCACCACTGTGCCTTGCCCTTTTAAAAAAATTTTTACTTTATTATTTTTATTTTATTTTATTTTATGTGTATGAGTATATTATATTGCCTGCATATATGTGAGTGCACCTGTGTTGTGCAATACCCGCGGAGGTCAGAGGAAGGTGTCAGATCCCCCGGAACTGGAGTTATAGATGATTGTTAGCCACTGTGTGGGTGCTGGGAATTGAACCCAGGTCCTCTGGAAGAACAGCCAGTGCTCTCAGCCGCTGAGGCATCTCTCCATTCCCATGCCCAGCTTTTTCACATGGGTTCTGGGAACTGAATTCAGGTCTTTATCCTTAGGCAGCAACCACTTAACTGAGCTCCCTCCCCAACCCTCTTCAAGTTCTGGTACTTCCCGTGTTTCTTGCCTGTGGCTGTGTCTCTACAGTATCTGCCACCTTGACAGTGGCTACGTTGCCTCCTTCTCTCCATGAGATCTCTCCTCCACATCTCTTACAAGGACCCTTGACACGGGACTTAATGTTGGCCCAAATAGCCCATTGTATTGGTCACTTTTCTGTTGATGTGATAGAAATACTGACCCAAGCAATTTATAGAAGGAAGAGTTTATTTGAGCTTACGGTTCCAAGGGAATTACATTCTGTCTTGGCAGGGAAGCATGGTGGCTGGAGGTGGCTGGAGCAGGAACAGCAGAAGCTAAGCTCTCACATCATCACTCAGGCACAGGAAGCAAGAGAGCTACTGGAGATCTGGCAAGGCTTAAGAACTCTCTAAGCCCAGCCCCAGTGATGAGCTTCCTCCAGGATAGCCACACCTTCTAAAACCTCCCAAAACAGCGCCATCATCTGGGGACAAAATGTCCAAATACTTGGAGCCTATGGGGGACATTTTCTTTCAAACCATCACACCCATGATAACCTTATCCAAACATCTGTAGCTCAATTGCAGCCTTAGCTTAAAATTATCTACCAGGATCCTCTCTCCAAATTAGGTAACAGTCACAGGTACTGAATTTAGACATGGACATATCCTTGGGCACCTCATCGTCTAACAACAATATATGTATATCGTTTTCTGCCTCAGCACCTTCAAGTGACTGAAAAGTGTACAGTAAGAAGCAAGGTTTCTTACTCAGGGTCAGAACAACCAGGCTTGTTTCCCCTTTCCCCAGTGAAGATCCTTTGGTTGGGGATGCCAACTTTCACATCCCCTTTTGCCATTGCCTAAAAACAAAGTCTTTAGGTATTCGGACTAAATCACAGATGCTGATTTCAGGAGAGGGAGGCTGGTGGAGGGAGGAGACAAAGAGGTAGAGTGAAAACAGAGAAGAGGAAGCCAATGGTTTAGTTAGAATGTCAAAAATAATTGTTAAAACTTTAGAACAAAACCGCAGAGCCAAACCACCCACAGTGGAGCAGGTGAGGCATAAGTTGCCCAGCCGGGTAGGACTGGACACAGGGCACAGTCTCTTCAAAAACTGCATGTTTATGATCTGTACAAGACATGAAAAGTACCTAAATATTACTGTAATGACTCATAAGCAAGCCCGAAGGAATATCTCTCCCAAGTAAGTAGTGTGCAGGTATTTACATGCACTTCTGTGTCAGCTAAATATTAAAAACATGTAGAAATAGTTGAATCAAGCTTAGAGTTTAGACCTGCATTGGTTGTGAATTAAATAAGCTAGAATCATATCTTAATAATAAGATGGATGGCCTTAATGCCTAGGAGATCTTCATTATCATAGCTCATATGTACATAGCTCCAATTATGTAAGTAAAAGTCTAAAAAACCTTCTGAAAGATTATTCACAGTATCATTTTTTTTTTTTGGTCTACTTGAGACAAGGTCTCCCTGTAGCCCCAGCTGGCCTGGAACTCACTATGTAGACCAGGCTGGACTCAAACTCACAGAGATCCACCTGCCTCTGCCTCCCTAGTGCTGGGATTAAAGGCGTGTGCCACACAGTATCATTTTTAACTTGAGCAAAAAAATCATTTGTTACCCATAGACTACACCACTAGCATTTTATAAAATTTTTGCCTTATCAAATCATTCCAACATCTGCTTCCAGAACATGGCCTTTCGCTATTCAAGGTGTAGTCCATAGACTAGCAGCAAAGGCAGGACCTGGGAACTTCTCAGAACTGCAGGGTTCTAGACCCTATGACAGGCTTGCTAAACAGGCAAGTCTGCCTCTCTCTCTCTCTCTGTCTCTCTCTTCTCTCTCATTCTCTCCTCTTC